CATGTTTTCAACTCAATCAGAAATTTTGCACAATTAAAAACAATTATGACCATGCTGTAATCTAAGATCCATGGAAAACAATTCCAGCTTTAGGTTATTACAGGCGGTTGTCTTCTAGCATAGAAACCAAAATCTGCAAAAAAGGTGATATTTTCCTCTGTCAATTTCCATGATACTGACAGTACAGAAGTCTTCACGGTGGTTCTTGGGATCTGTCCAAGCCATTTTAATTCCAAATTGTTTTAACATGTTTGTTTTTTTTTTTAAACGATTAAGGCTTCTCTCTTTTACAGCTGGCATTTATGATCCTGATTCTCCCCTTGACAGCTAGCATTAGAGATATTCTGGCCTTGACAAATGTCTTTAGACATGTATTCTCCCCTTCACACCTGGCATTAGTGATGATCATTCTTCACTTAAATTGTCATTTGTAATACTTCTTCCCTAGAATACTGCATTAATAATTGTCACATGTGTTTACTTTTGACACTAACATTTACTACACCGTTCCTTTATGTAGTTCAGCATCTGGTAATCTTAGTTTCAGCTGCATGGCAAATGAGTCACCCCATGGTTGGTTGCTATGATCCTGTGCCGATGAAAAACAATGTTTATTATCACATTTCCTTGATTGACAGACTGCTGTCTCAGCATATGCACTAGCATGCACACAAATTAAAGGCATACGGTAGTCATCCAAAGTGCTAACACAAACAGTCCGACATTAAAAATGCAGTTCATCATGGATGGTAGCAGAGGTCACCAACAGATCAGCAGTTGTACACGCGTTCAATTTTAATCACATAATGGCACAACCAATATTGCGACAGCAGGCATTGCACCATTTTCCGAATTAGAATTCACACCACCACTTTGCTCACAGTAGAAAACATTCCAAATGAAATCAGCAGCTCATAGCGTCACGCCATGCACTCAACTCAGAAACTTATCCTTTCAGTCTGGCAAAAGGACCAAAAATTGCCACAACAGTGACCAAGCGTAGGGTCCATTTTGACCGGAAGTAATGAGGGTTTATTAACAGCCACTCCAGTGGTGCCCTCGTGCTGGGAAATGGGCCAGGAGTGTGACATACCATTAGCCTTATGTTCCAGCATACATCTATATATTTAAAATTCAATGTTTGTGACTACTAAACCGATTAAGCTGAAATTTATAGGATATGTTTGTTTTGATATCAGGATTCTACCTGTCATAGTTTTAAATAGGTGGTGACATTTGTTGGGCTAATATTTTCATTTTAGTGACATTTAATTGAAGCCACGTTCGTAAATGTGCATGCGCAGTAGTCGGAACGCACGACTTCCACTATTCACTGGCAGTATATGAACAGCAAACTAGACTATCTCTATATCTGCGCAGGCAATGATTGCTACATTAACCATATTAGACACGATTTCTATTTTCTTTCTTTTCAAACAACCTTCTGTGGAGAGTAGTCTGTGGATTTGAGAGGGGAGGGGGGGTGTCAAAGACTATGTCTACACAGACAATGATTGTGACATTAACCGTGTTAGACAAGTGCGATTTCTATTGTGCCATTTCAATAATACTTATATCTGAGATATTAGTCTGTGGCTTTGAGTTGTGGTAGAATCCGGACACACATCTCAAATACCTTTCTCTTTTTGTTGCTCAGAAGGAGTGGTTGGTTGGCTGAACTTTTAGAACAATGGGCTTCATGCTGGGGACCAGGGTTCAAATTCCCAGTAGGCATTTAATTTCTTTTTTAACCTGGGGCAAAATAAAACCCTTAACTGCACAGTCGTGGCGACAGCATTAGCCATGTGGCCCTAAAAAAAGTACCATTATATAGGTAAACCAGTTGATAATTAAATTTGACCATTTCGCATACTTATGATTTAATTTTAAACTTTCCGATTGCATGGTTAAGCTAGATTTTCATTTAGATTAAATTATTTCGTCTGGCATTGCGTTGGAATTAAGCGTTCATTTTGTAATTATGGTGTATTTTTCCCCGTTTTCGTTGCTTTTTACTTGGGGTTTTTTTTCCCCCTTCCAACTACTTCGATGAAGAAAAGAGTAGTTGGGGAAGAAGGGGTGCAGTGGGAAGACACAAACTGTTAATTGAGAGAATTGAGTCACAGTAACTGCCATACCCACTCAAAGTAATAGTAGTTGGGCGGTTACACCGTAGTGCTGTCATGACAGAGACCGCTGGTAAAGTGATGGCGTTTTTCTGTCGGGGAGCGAAATTATACCTAACCTGACGTGGCGACAGCACTAATCCTCTTGCTCACGGCTCCCTGCCTACTCCGATGGTACAACAGATACCAGTGACAGTATTTTAGTTTTAGTAGTTGTACTGGTACTTGAAGGATGGTGTGGTAAATATTACACTAGCTGCATTTACTACTTTACAATTCCTGCCCCCCATTGTAGCCCGGATGGACAGGGATATCAAGATCAGTTGCAAAAAATATCGTCAGTTGATGATTTTCAAATCCTTCGAAGAGGGAGAGAGCATGTATGGGGGAGGGGTGATGACTGAAATTGTCAACTTAAAGAGCTTAACACATAATTTTGAAGTTTTCATTTCTAAATCTGTTTATATTTTACTAACGCTACCTCCGCTATTCTCATTTTTTATAACTCACTTTGTTATTTACAAGTACAGTAGTAATCTTTACCTCCATCTCTTATAAAAAATACAAACAGCTTTTTTTTTTCCAAGTTGTGTATCCTTTACAGGACGTTGCAAAACCAACCCCAACAGCCCCTGGCTACTGTGTTCCTTAGTATCCAGTCAATCACAAAAAGTTGAAGGCTAAACCGAACAACAAATGCCCATAGAAGTTAGAAATATGGGCTAAAAGTCACAAATGTTGTGGACAGGCACAACCAGTTTTTGGGTGATCGCAGGAAAAGAGGAAACATGACTGTCTAGCAAGCATGCTAGCCATGGCTGGATCACGGCCTTCTCTATTTATATACAGCTAGCCATGGCTGGATCACGGCCTTCTCTATTTATATACAGCTAGCCATGGCTGGATCACGGCCTTCTCTATTTATATACAGCTAGCCATGGCTGGATCACGGCCTTCTCTATTTATATACGGCTGGATCACGGCCTTCTCTATTTATATACAGCTGGACGTGGCTGGATTTAGACTCAATTGTACCCTTAGCCACACACATCCATGAGGTCCCTACCAGTTTCAAATTACACTAGCTAATCTGAGAAAACTTTAAAATATGTGGATAAGGAAAATAAATATATTGTTTCGTTTTTATTATTGAAAAACAAAAGAATATGTTTGCAAAATCACAGAAGTTATATTAAATAGAAGACCATAAGTTGCAACTCTTTGGGTTCTGGCAGAAAATCCTGGTTGTTTAAACTTCGGCTTTGTGTCGGGGGCCTGGGTTTTCTCGTATATCCGTTTTACTGGATTATTTATGTGCATTTGGTTGTCCCTTAGCGCTTCCGACCATGTACTCCAATTTCAAAGGAAGTGTACAGGTAGTAGTATTACTATCAACATCACAAAATGGTTTAGAAAACTTATTAACCTCACTCCAAAGAAATAGTGAAAATCATAACTTATTTCTTAACATAGCAAAAACAAAGATAATGCATACAAACAAAACCGCCATGGAGAAGGAAATATATGTTAATGAGGAAAGATTGGAAGTGGTGGAAAATTTCGAATATCTTGGGTCACTGGTTACCAACAATGGTGACACAATGAAAGAAATTAAACGGCGACTATAAATTGCTCTTCAAAGACTAAAGCAACTGAATAAATTATGGAATTGTACAGATAGAATTACAAAGGTCAGATTTTTAAGAGCATGCATCTTTCCCATTGCAACATACGCCTGTGAGACCTGGACACTTACTAAACAAGCGGAACAGCGCATAAATGCATTTGAATATAAATGTTACAGACAGGTTCTAAGAATATCTTGGGTAAAGAAAAGAACAAATGCATCCATAGTTCAAGAGCTGAATATTGAAGAGGGTTGGCTAGTAAAGACAATAAAACAAAGAAAATTGAAATATTTTGGTCACTTGAAACGTCATGGAAGTCTAGAGAGAACAATAATGGAGGGGTATATGCCTGGGAAGAGAGGAAGAGGAAGGCCAAGGAGAAGATGGGTGCATGATGTGGCAGATGATCTCCAGATGGGTGTATCAGACGCAGGACATCTTGCTCAGGATAGGAAGGTTTTCCGGAGGGTTGTTATGGCAGCGAGGTTCCGCGAGGGACATGCTACTGAATGAATGAGTACAGGTAGTCGACTTTTACGACATTCTTTTCTGGGTAGGAATTTTGTCTGTTCTTGTTTTTTCCACAATGGAGGCCCGGAACACCCACAAGGATTTCTTTTTTCAAATTAAAACATCCAGAAACCATGAGTTGTTAACCCTTTGGCTCGGTACTATTGATATTGTAACTCTTCGGCCTTGATTTCATGATAAATACCGTAAATCTAGGAGGAATGTGGCTTTTCTGCCTACCCCCGGGCGTGAACCCGGACAACAAGGAGTTCGTCACCCGTTCGCCGCGCAGTCCGGTTTAGCTAAGGAGCCAGGCCCATACAGGGATAAGCTGCAACTGAAATCATCGCTGTAGATTTAAAATACATTAAAAGCAAATTTCATCTGTTAAAAAAAAAGGCTTGCTTCTAAGTATTTATTATAGAAATTATACATGTGTTGTTTCTTTACAACTTAACAAAGCGATCTCTGTCTTGATGCAGTATTATATGCTATTTTCAATCAACCTTGCCAAGGGTTAACTTTCATATTTTGTTTTTCCTCTGCCTAAGACAGTTAACAGAGGTAGATAGTGATCAGTTCATGGTTAGCAATATTTGAGGGAAAATGCAATATCTCCATCCTACCCATTTATTGACATGTTTTACTCTTGCTGTGTGTCATACAGTTTGTGTTAGTGAAATAATCCCTTGTATTGTTTCTCTCAGCTGCCACTAAAGCTGTAGTTTTTAATCATTTAATTTTCTAAGTGCCTGATAACCGGAATATACTTGGCGATCTTTGATCTTCGAAAGCTGTCTGGGATAAATGGCAGTTCATAGACCTCAAGCCCTTCAACATACTGTCGACTGGTCTTTGTAGTGCTGCTACTGGTCTCATCGAGCTGATGTTGGAGACCTCGCTCTTTCAGTGTGCCTGAAAATGCATATAAGACAAATAGGTACCATGATGAAACTAGAGTATATTAACTGTTGCACTATTTCATATTTATGGCATTGTGGTGCGGGTTTTTCGGTGGATTGCCTGCCTCTCGGGTAGCAGCCAAAACTGCGCTGTACTAGTTCTAAAGGAAATATGGGTTACATTTCTGCCTTCCCCTTTGACACCTAGCTAAGGTGGGGTTCACAGTGTGCTCATTTCCCGCCACCAGATTGTCTGCTGGTTATGCTGAGCTCTGCATAGCTCTGAGCATGGGTAGTTTGTGCAACTGGATTGTCATGTCCTGAGTCCCTGTGTCTTCAAGATTAATTCCGGTATTTAGGCGGGTTAGCATACTTGTTTCCACTCATAGGACTGTTCAACAAGGCATAGAGTGAAGTAATAAACACGTGGCAAGGAAATCTGGAGTGGACTTACCTCCGTTGATGCGAAGTGGGATGACATAACAGAGGCTCAGGTAGTCACTAGTGACGTCCAGGCAGCATTAGACGCGGCGTTCCATGTCATTTTTTGGATGGCTGCACTCAGTTTTGCTGCCAAGGCTGTATGATCCATAGCTCGTTATGAGGTCACCCGATTTCGCATGAACGGAACTAAGTCCACTCTAAATGTCTTTACCACATCTTTATTAGTGTCCGAGTTGTGAACGAAAGACTGGGTTCCGCTACGACTAAAACACCTGATATAATTTACAGACTTGCAGTCTGTCAAGCTAAACTTAAATGGCCGTAAGTTGACCGATATGCAATAGGTCTTCCATATTTTGTGTCTGTGTGTGTGAAGCAGAAACGTATTAGTGAACTTTAATGATTTGATTTGATTCAAGAACCGACATCACAGCACTCGGGGCATTTCTATAAGCGCCCCTTCCCCATTTTCAGCAGCCAGCGAAAAGTTCCGATACTAATGGTGCCAGTAGCTTTCTGATTAAACGTCCGTCTTGCCTTTCCTCTGAGCCTCGAGCATCTACCAGAACCTCTCGTCACCCCCAACTACATCAATCTCACCAGACTGTGGTGATCCATCTGCTCCTCCGAATTGTACACGCTCTCCCACAAGGTACTAACCTCGTCTGCCCTATCATGTAGAAGTATTTCACCAAGATGTGCAGAGCCAGCCAGTCTGTCCGCCTGTTCATTTCCCAACACACCGGCGGGCCCCGGTGAAAAAAATCAAGACAATACTCCTCACTCGTGTCCTCCGCAGTGAAGCATGCCACTCTGCACGAAACATACCTGTTCTGATCTTCCTCAGCATGCTATCTGAATCAGTTACAATCACGATGTGTGTGTGTGTGTCTTGTTCTCTAGCCAGCGGAAAGCTGCAGTGACCGCCTCCACCTCCATTCTTAAGCTGGCTGTTGTGGTATCATATGCTCGGCTCTCGTGCACCAAACGTCGACCATTAACTTTTGCTAAGAAGCCCCAAGCACTTCTTTTGCCTCTTGACACTGCACCGTCTGTGTAAATGATCAAATTCTCTGAGCGAGCATTATCTTGAATAAATTGCTGAATTTCCACCTCTGTGGCACCTGCTGGCCAGTCTCTGAATTCCCGGCTCAGGGTGATTATGACTCTACACGAATCTGACTTCTCAGGTAGCACTTTGACCCACTCCTCTCCTTGTGTTCTCAATGATGCAAACCTGTCTGATTGTGTCTTCTGCCTGAGCCATCCATGACCTCCCTCTTATCAGACGCTGACCCTTAACTGTACACAGAGAATTCCAATGGCAACAGTAAATAATCAAATAAACGTCTCATCCTTTCCCTGAGTGTGAAGCGTCGGTGATCCCCTGGTAACTCCTCGCAGCGCCATTCTTCTTAGACCTTAATGATCTGTCTGCGTCTTCGCATTGTTCACTCGATCCAGAAGGGCCCTCACAATATCTAACTTGTCATACACCAGTTAATCGCCAAATGGTGCAGAGCCAGTCAGTCTATCTGCCTGCTCATTTCCCAACACACTGGCATGACCTAGAGAAAATATCCAATGGTTTTGAACTTCGCGGACGTTATCTTATATTTCACTTTTAAAGTTGTTACCTGGGGCTGTGTTGTCCATAAGAAAAGAAAATGCACCTCCTACAAATGATGTGTTGGACAGCAGCATTTTGAGCGATGAATCGATGGAAGCATTTCCTGAAAGAATAAATAGCAGTATACTATTTTACTGATACTGTCATGTTTGTATGAAATTGTAAACAGTTCATGTGATGGTAACTTTATGTCAAGAGTGGGCAACTTTTTTTTAGACCAGGGGTCAATTTAGGAATCACCAACCTTGTCGCTGGCCATATAGAACCCACACAAAACAAAACAAAAAAACAATTATAAACATGACGTCAAGATTTCTTGGCAACATGGGATAATACAGAAAGGTGACCGCACTTCCTTAATCCATAAACTTGCTGACCAGAAGACAACAACAACAAAAAAAGAATGGTCGTTGCTTTATTGTATTATCAAAGTCCGCCGACAGTCATTGTTTTTTAATGTCGGATTTTGCTCCTGTTTCACAAGCAGGATCCAAGATTTGGTTTTTATCAAAGATTTTCAGTTCTTTTGGTTTTCACTGTTTAGGAATAGGTTATCGCTTTGCTGGATGTTGTTATTTGGATTCAACCCCCCCCCCCCCCCCCCCCATACACCCCCCCCCCTTTTTTTTATGCCTACGTTTTTGTGTTCTGCTATGAGCTCAAAGGCCTGATTAACCAGTCTTGTGAGCTAATAACATTTACTCGGCGGGCAAGTTTTAAGAAATGTTATTAATTAGTCACAAAAAATATTTACTCAAGTTCTACCTACTAAAAATATTTAGTTTAATAGAAAACCGGGGTAAAGGCGCACTAAGTATAAACCTTTATTTAAATGTAAAAAAAAAAAATTAAAAAAAAACACGTTAGTTAAGAGTGACGACATACCTGTTCGAATTGCATCTGGATTTTTACTAACCCAAAGAGGCATCATAACACCCAGAAGTATAGCGATCCCCATTATAGCCAGATTTCTTGTTGAGTTCAAGTCAACAGTCTGAAAAAAGATTAGAAGATATAAATGTATTTACAGTAGTAGAGCCTCCAAGGTTGACCACCTCGCTATGACTATTTCATTTTTAAATTGATCCGTTGGTTACTACACATATTCGCATTGTAAGACTACCTCTATATGTTGACCACCTCTGTAAAAGTTGTATGTTTACATTTCCATAAGTGCTTTGTCCCCACCCGCAGTAGCACGCGCACATTTCCAATTCTGATGGCACCAGTAACAGTCTGATCGTATATCCGTCTCACCTTTACCCCGAGTGATAATCGTCAGTCAGATTACACTGGTAATTACCCGTAGCATCTTGTCTCAGAAGCTGAAATATTTTATAATTATAGCTCTTAACAATATTCGTCCTCACCTGAATTCTTGTTTCATCTTCGGGTTGACCAGTTGTAAACTCAGGCGGAATTATTTGGTTGTTTGTCCACTTCTGGTCGACGTCTCGTCCACGTCTTATTCCAGAACGTGAGTTTTGCGTGCACATCTCTTTTCAGATATAAATTATTTGTATGCAGACTTTTCGTTCCTTGCTTCTCATGCAGATGCGGTCATAGCTGTTCACTATCCGCATCCGCAGCTGCGTAAATCACAATATTCGTGGGTTCTATCTTATGTTAGAGTTCAATTCTTCTTACCCAGTACTGCTCAGGGATAATCTGGGAAAGTAAAAGCGGTTTGCATCGTACTTACCGTATTGCCCCGCGTGGATCTGTAAGTTATGAATAACCTGAGCCTTGTTTTCTATTGGATTATACTTAATTGCTATAGAACAAGAAGACCCTAAAACTGACAGCTGTTTTTTCACATACCTGCAAGTAGGAAAGGATCACGCCGATGAAAATGCCCATAATAACAATATTAGTACCACCAAGAACAGGGTAAGGGATGGATACAAAAATGGCACCAAATTTGCCACAGACTGCAAATATAATGTAAATGATGCCTGCCAACTGAAAAACACTGCGGCTCATCACCTGTAAGAAATACAAATAACTGCGTGTCAAAGATTATGTGTTCCAATTCTGAATTCGAATATTTAGCAAATGAATTGTTTGCGTTTAAGTAAGCTGTCTGTAACACGCGTTGGCAAGTCTTAAATACAAAATAATGGATGCCTTAAAAAAAATGGTTACAACGTTATTGCCATCACCTCCATCGTCATGCTGCTGGTTGTTATGGAGAAAGCGCCGTTGGCTTCTTAGACTGTTCTGCCCGCTTAGCGTGCTGTGAATACACATTCTCTTTTTTTTTTTTTTTTGGGCGTATAACGGATCTGTCTGTGTAGATTAGTGCAACTGCTTCGTCTGAATTTTCACTGATGAGGGCGTTGACCTCTGCATTAAGGATACTTTGTGTTTTTCGTAGGAGCATCGTGTATTGTGGTTGTGTTATGTTGGGACGGGATAATGACCGATAGTTTTGGTAGCCTCGACCACGCTGCGTTCGCAATGTTTTGATCGCCGCGGTCCACTCGGGAAGACAGAATCTCGTCAGCATGGAACTGCAACTGTCTAGAGAGCAAACTCATAAAAGCCGCCCCCAGAAACGGAATGTGTCTACCATATATTTGGAGGGAAGGAATCGACACATACGGTTAATGGTCATGGCCATGGCCGAAATCAAACGAACGAACAGGCGATTTTCTGTTCGTCTCTTGTCAGTCATACAATTAGACAGGACTTCATCATTTTATAGTGTATATGCGATAGATAATGTTCACTTTGTCATCTGTACCCATTTGATATGAGTTTATTTAACGTGCTGAGGATTTATATTTTATAAAGCATTCATTATATTTACCCTTGTAATCCCCATGGCACCAATGTTACCCCCATAAGACGAGGTTGCATGGCAACAACCCAGCGTTCCTCCCAGGAAACTCACGAGACCTTCAATGGCAATTCCTCTATTGAAGGCAAACGCTGGTGGAGGCGGAACCCGTGCAGTCCGAGCACAGGCGCTGTAATCTCCAATTGAATCCAGCACTGATAGAATCGTGGCCACAAAGAAGCTGACAAAACCTCCGATGCTAAAAGTGGCCATTCCAAACATACCTGAAGAGAGTTAAACAGCAACAGTCATCACTTTGTTTGAGAATGTCTTTCTTATGATAAGGTACACAGACATAAACAGATAGGGAATCCTTGAAACCGTAGTGACATTCTATATAATAAATAGACAGTGAATTGGTAGGCACTCACAGAAAGACGTATAAGGATAGGATACACTAGAAAGAAAAAATAGACAGCTAAAGTTACCATGCTGGGAATCGAACTGTCGTCTCCAAATGACAACAGTGCCTCGCTTCAGTGTGTACCAAGACATATGACTAACTAACTGTGTATGTTAAAATTGTATTGTTGCCACCAACACAAACGCGCAAATCCCCAACCTTACGGAGGAATCGGACTCGGGTCTCCGACCTACCAGTCTCGCAACCCCCCTCCACCACCCCTCCCACACCAGGTGTCTTAATTAGCGACAACTCTGTCTATGAATGCTGATCAATATATTGTCTGCATAATATTCTTCGATCCTTCTGTCAGACAACTTATATTAGGAGGCTGTTAGCCTGTACGAAAGCTATCGTACAGTTGGCAGCACACAGTTGACAGTGTTGGAGCACATGATCAGGATTTGCTGGTACCATGCTGCAGTGATCCGTCTCAGTGTTTTCTACACCGAAAAGTGTGCATATATGTTGACGAAGTCTGTTGTGCCCTTTCCTTAGTCTGAACATATACATTGTCTCTCTCTAGAAAAGGGAGTCGCCGTGCCGTAGCGACTAGACGCTCGCGTGGGGATCGGAAGGTCGTGGGTTTGCTACACGGTCGACCCAGCCTTGAAAAGCGATGAAGCGAGTCTTGAGTAGAGAATTTGGTGTGTGGATCCAGCCACCTTTCTTGGGTACTATATAGGTTGTATTTATTTATATCTTAGTCTCTTGTTGGGTGAAATCATTATGTAATTGTACCATGTCACTGCTGCTTCTAGACAGTGTGTCCGCTACTTAATTGCCTTCATGATAATAAGATAGCTGCTGAATCTTTCTTTACTTGACTGTTTACAAACAAATGACACCAAATCGACAACTGTTAGGCTCAACTCATTTACCACAAAGCAGCTCATCTGATGTTTACTTGTGACATCGTAGTTGTAGACTTTTCCTTAATTCTCATATTTCATTGAACTATTACATTAATAGCAATATGGGCGCCGCAACCTGGGAGGTTACGCACCCTGACTCCCCCCCCCCCCCCCCCCCCAGAAATCTTATGGAGCAAATATACACACCCCACACAGACACACAAACTATGTATGGACGTTATTATTTTATGCAATTGTTTGTACATTTCATATAATTTCATATACATTGTTATTATTGTTATTATTTGTTGGTAATTCGGCACATAGTAATAATAATTTAACTGCTCAATTAAACAAGGTTTGTGTCCATTGAGACCCCCTCCCCCCCCTCAGTACTTTTCTGTAGGCGGCTGGGGAGGGGGGTGGGGGAGGGGAATGGGGTTGTCAGATGGCTCAAACCTAGCTTGATAATTATTATTTTTTTAACCATTTTTTTAAAAATGATTTTTGCATGTAAACAGCGAACGAGTCCATCGCCCGCCCCTAGAAAGTTATAAGTGGTAGGGCTTCTCAGACCCCGCCCCCTCCCCACCTCTCACGAATTACAGCAGTACGCATTTCCCGTGTGGATTTCGGGACCGAATTGTGGGGGGGGGGGGGGAAACAAGAATAGACCCACTGTCCCCTTCCCCTCCCCACAAATATGTCGTAAGAAGCAACTAACTGGAAGCTTCCTTCGAAGTCGGAGTGCATCTGCTTAAACTGCAAGGAACCTACAGTCTGCAAACAGAAAAGTCAGAGGTGGACGAACATCCAGAACTTTCCGCCAGAGCTTACAGCTGGTGAATGTGAAGAAGAAGAAGAAGTGTAGTAAGTATCACATATTCCTTCATGGTGAATATACCGAGCTTATTATTTCTTAGCAAATGGAATCACTGAAGCACTGCATGAAAGTTTTTACAACCTGGATAAGGCATTATTAACCAGCCGCTGTCTTTGATGACGTGTGATCGAGCATCTGTCCTAGCCATGAAGCTTTTGCTCCGAGGGTCATCCGACAGAGCTCCAAACTCAGTCATGATAGCACTGACTGCCCAGCCGATAAGAATTCCCAGTAAAATCTGTCAATATTGAGGTGAAATTATGTTTTACTGAACTGTGTTAATGGTTTTATGGGATTTGATAATTGATAACGGCAAAAGTGAAAATTGTTAATGATGATGATAATTTTTCACACACACACACACACACACACACACACACACACACACACACACACACACACACACACACACACACACACACAATTATGAGACAAGGATAAGGATGACAAAAAAAAATGAACAGGGTACTAGAACAGAAAAAAAAATGTTGAATGTTGAATTACGAATCGACATCACAGCACCCAGGACACCCATAAGCGCTCCATCCCCATCTTCAGCAGCAAGCGAAGAGTTAAAATACCGATGGTACCAGTAACTGTCTGATTGTATATCCGTCTCGCCTTTCCCCTGAGTGTTGAGTGTGGGCCAGATCTCGTGGTAACTCTTCGAAGTGTCATCCTCCTCAGACTGTAATGATCTATCTGCGCCTCGGCACTGTTTACTCGCTCCCATAGGGCCCTCACAACATTCAGCTTGTCATACATCAGTTCACAACCAAGCGGTGCAGAACCGACCAGTCTATCTGCCTGCGTATTTCCCCAACACACCGGCATTACCTTGACAAAATATCCAAAGGATGCTAACTACCCTGGACCTTTGAAGTGATGCTTGCCACTCTGAACGGAGCATTCCTGTCTCTACCTTTCTTAACATGCTCTTTGAGTCAGTTACAATAATGGCATGTGTCTACAACTGATTCTCAAGCCAGCGGAAGGCAGCAGTGACTGTCTTCACCTTCATTTCCAAACTATACTTTGTGACATCATATGCCAGGCTTGGTTACACCAAGCGACGCCCATTCACCTTCGCTATGAACCCCCCCCCCCCCTCCCCCCCCCCATGCACTTCGCCTGTCCCTCAACATAGAAACATCTGTATAGACAATCACATCACCGGGGTGAGAATTGTCATAAATCATTTGTGGAACTTCTGATTCTGCCGCACCAGCTGGCCAGTCCCTACACTCATGTCCCAAAGTGATTGGAACCCTACACAAGTCTGAAACTTGATCGGACACTTTGACCCACTCCTCTACTCGCCTAAATTTATCAAGCCTGCACACATGTCCAATTGTCTCTTCAGCTTGCGCCATCCAAGACTTTCTTATTTTCAGTCTGTGACCCTTAGCTCTGCCCTTATGTTGTTCATTTTGTAAAGTGCTGTTTTGGCCTGTCCTGTTCTAATCTTTATCTCCGTGATAGAGCTTCCATCAGACGTTATCCATGTGACTAGATACTAAAATGTCTTTACATGTCTTAAAATAACTTTATTATACATTTAGGCACTATTCTTTTCTTAAACATCACCATAACTTCTAAGTAACACATGTAGAACATGCTGCTCCCTACCGAATGAGGTGATTCCATTAGAAACCCCCCATCCACGTAATTACCCACCACCCGCCACACGATGGCTGCGCATAGTAGTAGGACAGGATCCTACTCCAGGACATATGTCAGTTATTATAGGTATTAGGGTTTTGGTGTATGAGTAATCTTAAATTCGTATAAAAAAAAAGAGACTATAAATATCTGTCGTATGTTGTCTCTGGAGAACTGCAGTAGTCCTAGGCCCTTTGTGGCACATTGGCTTACAAGTGCACTAAACATTACATCAAGAAAACGAACTGTTTTTGTACATTTAGATTTAATGAACTTTTAGTGCTATTTTAATACTTTTATAGACCAAGCGACTCAGGATAGATTATGTAGTCAATGCTCAAGGTCACAATTTTTCAGTTTGCTAAAACACGGGTTTCTAAGACGTCCTAATATTTCTGCTGACTCACTGGGGATTCTATCATTCCGTCTAGGTAGAACATATGTGTGGTTAAACGACTGCTGAATAAAACTTTAGGTTAAACGCATTAGAATGGACAGTGGTTTTTACACTAATTTTTAGATATTTCTCTGTTACTGTCTTCTTTTCATGAACAGATTAAAATTGTTAAAGGTAATATAACAAAATTAGCAAAACGCCTTCATAACAAAAACCTTCTTTTTATTTTTATAGTCAGTGCGTTGGTAGTCGTGTTCACCCAGACCCTCCTTTAAGTCACTTCTACCTAAAGATGATCTTCCTTGCCATGATGCCATACTGTCCAGCATTCCCTCTCTCGGCCTTTCTCTGCCTCTCAACCCCCCCCCCCCCCCACAACTTGCCCCCTGTCACGATGTACTCCAGTTTTCTCCTTCTCGTGGCATTACCAAAAACTGTAGATCATCTTTTTCTAATGTAGGAAATCAGAACTTTCCACCAGAGTTTACAGCCAATGACTGAGAAGAAGAAGAAGATTCACACTCACCGAGAACACTTGGTGAAATGGGTACCACAAAATATGGAAGCCCTGTTTTCTAGTCCACAGTGGAATGGGTGTCTTACGGTTAGCCAAGAACAGGGAAAACAACAGGCTGCTACCGGCAGTTCTGTTTGTATAGGAAAAGCAAAACATAATAAGTAATCCAGTTAGTGTTTGTAATGAGAACGTAATTAAAAAGTTAAGGATTTTTTTCCTCACGCCTTTAAGCTATTGGTCATATAGTGCTAGACATATATTTTAAAGACCAGTTGACACTTGGTGGGTGATCTGGTCAGCATCCTTTTGGTCGCTTTTACTTCCCAGTGCTTGTACCTGGTACCCACTTAAGAATGGCTCAAACTGGGAGTCATGGTAATTTTTGAAAAAAGCCCGACTGTCAGGATCCGAACACACGACCTTCGGATCCACAGGCGAGCGTCTAGCTGCTACACAGCGGCGACTTCCATTGAGTAAGTACTGTTTTACAAAGATAATAAGTAAACGTAAAAATTAACAAACCCTTTTTACCCATTAGGCCCAATTAATATATTGTCCTAGCCCCAGATGTTTAACGAGTTTTTATTGTCAACATCCTGCTGGCTGCCTTTCCTTTCCAACAAATCCCTGCGCTGCCATATCTTTGCGGATAGCTTCGGCATAGTCCTTCTCTATCATATGATAAATAACCTTAAAATAATCTTTCTCTATCATATGATGAATAACCTTAACATAATCTTTATCTATCATATCATGATGAATAGCTTCAACTTAATTCAACTCTATCATATCATGGTGATAAGCTTCAACATAGTCCTTGATCATATCTTGATGAATAGTTTCAACATAGTCTATCTCTATCATATCGTGGTGATAAGCTTCAACATAATCCCTCTCTATGATATCATGGTGAATAGCTTCAACAAAGTTCCTCTCTATCATATCATGATTTTTAGCTTCAACATAGATAGATAGATAGAAATATAGACAGACAGACAGACAGACAGACAGACAGACAGACAGACAGACAGACAGACAGACAGACAGACAGACAGACAGACAGACAGACAGACAGACAGACAGACAGACAGACAGACAGACAGACAGACAGACAGACAGACAGAAAGACAGATAGATAGATAGATAGATAGATAGATAGATAGATAGATAGATAGATAGATAGATAGATAGATAGATAGATAGATAGATAGATAGATAGATAGATAGATAGATAGATAGATAGATAGATAGATAGATAGATAGATAGATAGATAGATAGATAGATAGATAGATAGATAGATAGATAGATAGATAGATAGATAGATTAGATAGATTAGATAGATTAGATAGATTAGATAGATTAGATAGATAGATAGATAGATAGATAGATAGATAGATAGATAGATAGATAGATAGATAGATAGATAGATAGATAGATAGATAGATAGATAGATAGATAGATAGATAGATAGATAGATAGATAGATAGATAGATAGATAGATAGATAGATAGATAGATAGATAGATAGATAGATAGATAGATAGATAGATAGATAGATACATAGATAGATAGATAATTAGATAGATTAGATAGATTAGATAGATAGATAGATAGATAGATAGATAGATAGATAGATAGATAGATAGATAGATAGATAGATAGATAGATAGATAGATAGATAGATAGATAGATAGATAGATAGATAGATAGATAGATAGATAGATAGATAGATGGATGGATGGATGGATGGATGGATGGATGGATGGATGGATGGATGGATGGATGGATAGATAGATAGATAGATAGATAGATAGATAGATAGATAGATAGATAGATAGATAGATAGATAGATAGATAGATGGATGGATGGATGGATGGATGGATGGATGGATGGATGGATGGATGGATGGATGGATGGATGGATGGATGGATGGATGGATGGATGGATAGATAGATAGATAGATAGATAGATAGATAGATAGATAGATAGATAGATAGATAGATAGATAGATAGATAGATAGATAGATAGATAGATAGATAGATAGATAGATAGATAGATAGGTAGGGTAGGTAGGTAGGTAGGTAGGTAGGTAGGTAGGTAGGTAGGTAGGTAGGTAGGTAGGTAGGTAGGTAGGTAGGTAGGTAGGTAGGTAGGTAGGTAGGTAGGTAGGTAGATAGATAGATAGATAGATAGATAGATAGATAGATAGATAGATAGATAGATAGATAGATAGATAGATAGATAGATAGATAGATAGATAGATAGATAGATAGATAGATAGATAGATAGATAGATAGATAGATAGATAGATAGATAGATAGATAAGATTAGATTAGATAGATAGATAGATAAAGCACAACTCACATTACTGCGACAGTCCAGTTTGTCTCAGAGAATTTGACTGCCACTGTTTTCACCTGAAGTCCAACAAGAATCACAGTGGGCACAACAGTTACAGGGCCCACATACCTGATAGCCGTAATAGTATCAGATTATTCATCAATATATGTGAATCATTACAAAAACAGCTAACAGCACAGGCATATTTTTTTTTACTGAAGACTGACTGACTGACTGACTTTCTACCCCACCAGGACATCACACAAGCGATAAACACCCGATGACACAAAGTGCCACCATATGGATGAGGATCGCCGTGGAGAGGTCCCAGAAATCGCGTTCAGACATTTGGCCATATTTATGGCCTGCCTATATTGCGGCCCCTGGCAAAAGCCAGGGTGGGGCTTCAAATAACAAAAAATTTCGTCCTAAAAAGGACGAAACTGAATAACAATGATTACTGAAGACTTGTTTGCTGCCTTTATATATATGTGTGTGTGTATATATATACATATGTCCATGCTGGAATGTCAGTAAGTGATTTAGGATGTGGAGGTAACTTGGATATATCTTCTTTAAGAAGAAAGTTGAGAATATCACTGATGTACAGCTGAGAATCTTAGAGATTTAACTCACCTTTATCAAGTAATCTGGCATCATGAGGGCTTATAGACTGTGATGGTTGGACCCTATATAGAGAGAATGCTAGATAACAGAGAGGCATCAACTGCTAACATACGAGATTTGAAGGGGGAGTTGCAGTCAGCACCTGGAAAGAGATCGCGTAACAGAGATGAATGGAAGCAGGTGATATTTGCAGCAATAAACCTCGCGGGTTCGGAATGAAAAAAAAGGATACAGTAAGGAGTACCAAGTAATCTACCTTTCGCCTCGTTGCGTACTGTGTACATGTGTTAAATTATTTAAAACTAAGTGTCTGCTGTAATGTGTTACAGTCTTACCAGTAATATACCAACACCAGTTTTCCGAATGTCTATTTTTCTTTTTCTAGCCAACTTCTTCGGACCTACAGTGTAGGCTACACCTTTCCATACAGAGCCCATGGCGACGGCGAGTGTGACTAGCAAGTCCCGCCTGCGTTAAGAAAAGTTTTCCCTAATTATAGCGTGGGATTTCATGCCAGTTCTTTTCCAGATTTGAGTTTACTGCGTTTATTCCTAGACGCTTAGCTCTCACGCTTTCTGTAATCATTTGTTCCTTCGTTCTCTTTTTCCTTCCTGAAGTGCCCCCTTCACATAACACGGTCACGTGCATTTTGTTCCCATGAGTCCACCTCAATACCTGTATCATATGATGTCCCATTCGCACACATAATTTTTTCAACTATCGCAGTAGAGATAGGTAGGCCTCGACATCTCCTACCTATCTTTAATTCACCATAGAGAGTGTCCTTAGGGACTCTGCCATCCTCCATTCTTAAAGTATGATTCAGCCACTTGTCTTCTTAGACTAAGCATTGCGGGTATGACAACAGTCTTCTCGATGCTCAACAGAACATTAGTAACAACATTTCTGATACAGACAAAGTTAATTCTGTAATCAAATAGCTGCAGTGTTATTTCATCCAATAGAAGTCTCATTAGCCCTGATAGTGATGTTATTACCGCCACTACTACTCACGTCTACGTTAATTAATATATCTCATGGTCGTGTACATAGTATTCTAATGTAGTCAATTCATAGTTAGTGTATTTGTGCGTAAAGGTACAATTAAAGTCGGGAGATGTGAATCAGCGTCATTGCATACGGTTATAAACCATAAGTGCTCTGCCACGAGTGCGGACAGCTGATAAGAAACTGTCCATATGTGTCGCCGTCGGCACGTAACTCCGTAGCTACAGCGACGTTCCTCCATTTACCCCAGAGTGTCAATTCTGGTACCAATTTCCTAGAGGCTGGATGAACCCGGGGAACCGCCCGGTTTCGAACACCGACCGTGGGCTGCAGCGAGTCGCAGCTGGATTTGAAAGCGAGTCTCGTATCGACTGAGCTAACGCGACCTTCCGAATTTGTGTGTGTGTGTGTGTGCTGTGTTGTCTTTAGTAGCTGATGAACGTCCTTTGTTTGTTCATTGTAATTGAGTTTGTAAAGCTGACATAAACGATTTGTTCTTTCTTACCTTTTTTTCTTCTCTTTCCTATAAATTCCTACCTCTTTTAAAAATTATGTTAATTGACGAAAATAGCCGCCAGTCAGTTAATCGCAGATCCAATTTTGCGGCACGGGCCTTCCCATACATTTCTCCTTTTCTGTGCCAGTGAAAGCTTCACTGGCAAGGTCACGGGTAGTGAGCATACTTTGGATCTTTTTTCCAGGCCATGCCGGCGTAGTATGTAATGAAGAGGCAGACAGATTGGATGTGGTCAAGGCCCTTTGAAACAAGCAACGGAATTAGTAGAGAAACTAGATTATTGTGGCCTGGAGAGAATAAGGCACGTTTGTGTAACCAGAGGGTCTGGCCGCCTCGCTAAACACAAAGGAAAGGCAAGACCGACATATAACCAGATTGTGACTGGTACCATCCGTGCTGGAACTCTGCGCTGGCTGCTGAAGATGAGGACGAAGCATGCATGGGAATGCCCTAAGTGCTGTGATGTCAATTCTTAACTCAACTGCCAGTGAAAACACATAGAACATTTTAACACATGGTGGTCTGGGCAAAGTCAATAGTATATACACCTATTAATTGCATTAGGTAGCAATCGGGAAAGCCACTACACCGATTACAAACCATTACTACAACATTCACTTCTAACGTCTCCGCGGAAATAAACATGACAGTTTTACCTTATGATTATACCAACAAATCCAGTCAAACCAAACAGAAAATGCAAAGCACCAGCAGCCATCAAGCTTCCAGACAACTGGGAAGTATAAGAGTAAATACAATGTACATTTAAACTGATGTATAAGATTATGCTGAGAGACAATACATCAAGATCTGGAATCGTTTGGTGCAAAATATGAGAGCTTGGATTATTCCATGAACATCTGGTTAGTTAATTAGTCAGTTATTAAGTACCTCAAATAGTCAGTTGGCTTTTTTAAAATTTTGTTAAAGAGGTCTCTATCGAAGTAGTTAGGTTTTGTTGTTGTTGTCTTGTACTGTGGAGGTGTTAGGCTACATCATATTTCCTTTAATAACTCTATACATTCT